AAAAACGACGAAAAAAAGAAGAAGAAGAAGAAGAAGAAGAAGAAGAAGAAGAAGGAGAAGAAGGGGAAGAAGGAGAAGAAGAAGAAGAAGAAGAAGAAGAAGAAGAGGATGAAGATGAATGGGGGGCGGGGGGGGGGGGAACAAGGGAAAAAATGGACGAAACAAACAGAAAGAAGAAGAAGAAGAAGAAAATGAAAAAGAAGAGGAAGAAGAAAAAAGAAGAAGAAAATCTTACCTCAGAGTATAACTCTCTCTCTCTCTCTCTCTCTCTCTCTCTCTCTCTCTCTCTCTCCGCGTGCTCTCGACCGAGTCAACCCCATGTGAACGGACCCCGCCAGCGCTCATACGCGGAATGCAGCGTTCAGTGCTGCTCAAACGGCCTCTCCGCGTTTTTGTAACGAAAACACGCAAGGACCATTCGAGCGGCCTCCAATGGTTAGTTTTTTTTGTTTTTTGTTTTTTTTTTGGTTTTTTGCTTTTTTTTTTTGTTTTCCCCTTACCTTGGCCTGCACTCCATGAGTCTCCATCAAGGCTCATGAGGGTCGTCGCGAGCCGGTACCCCTATGCGACACCCCCGACAGGCCTCCCCTTCACGGGTGACGCTCTACTCGTTCGCGTTCAGAGTGTTTACCCGCGTTCATTGAACGTGCGTTCAACGTGTTCAACAACTGAACGTGGAATGCGCGTTCAATGAATGCACGGCAACAAAGGCCTGACCACCTCGGCGTCGGCCTCTTGCGCAAGAATGGTCTCACCCTCCCTTATGGCAGGCAGAGTGGCCTTGAGTTCCTTCGTGAAATCGTGCATGGATGTTGATTCCATAGCATGGTTTCCGAGTCCAGCCTGGTCATATTGTGCCCCTTCATCATGCAGCTTCCTGCAACATACACAACCACTCGGAGCCTCCTTGAGCGTCCCTAACAGCGTTCAGTGCTGCTCAAACGGCCTCCGCCCATTTTTGTAACGAAAACCCGCGAGGGCCGTTCAAGCGGCCTCTAGTCCTTCATTTTTTTATTATTATTATTATTATTTTTTGGTTTTTCGTTTTTTTTTCCCCCTTACTTTGGCCTGCACTCCATGAGTCTCTATCAACGCTCATGAGGGTCGTTGCGAGCTGGTACCCCTATGTGACACCCTTGACAGACCTCCCCGTCACGAGTGACGTTCTGCGCGTTCGCGTTTAGAGCGTTTATCAGCGTTCATTGAACGCACGTTCAACGCGTTTAACAACTCAACGCGGAACGTGCGTTGAATGAACGAGCGGCACGACAGGCTGGACCACCTCGATGTCGGCCTCCTGCGCAAGAATGGCCTCACCCTCCGTCATAGCAGGCAGAGTGGCCTCGAGTTCCTTCATGAAATCGTGCATGGACGCTGATTTCCATAGCATGGTCCCCGAGTCCAGCCTGGTCATGTTGTGCCCCTTCATCATCCAACTTCCTGCGACATACACTACCACCGGGAGACTCTCCGAGCGTCCCCTACTTCCCTAGCGACCATAAACTCCCCAACCCAGAACCATCACCACCACCCAAATCTCCTCTCTGCCCTCCCTCCGTCTCCTCACCCGTAGATGTCGATGTCGACTCAAAATCCAGTATGAGTTGTCTCTTGATGTTGTTCGGGCACTTCCTAAGTCGCTGAAGCGCCATACCCCCGCTACGTCCTCCTGAGTGGTCGCTGTCGTCTGATGAACCCTGCACAATGGACGATACACCCCCGACTGTCGGACCCTGTTTCTCATGGGCTCCTCGCACACCTGTTATGCCCTCTTGTGTGGGCGAACACGAGGTAGGCCCGGCATGTCGGGGCGGCGATGAGGTATGAACGAGCGACATGCCATGAGAGCTCCCTTATCCGCCTCAATATCCCTCAACTCCAGCCATGCCCCTCCCGGTGTCCTCGAATATATCTCTGTCGGCGATACTTTGACGAACCTCCTCAAGGTCACTCCATGTGTCGTCGTCCTCTGCACGTGGAGAACCTGCACCATTGCAGGGGTGAAATCCGTCATCATGTATCGCGCGCTCATCTTTATTAGGACATCTCTTGGGTACGGCCTCAAAGTCGCGGCCAAAACCCCAAAAACATCCTCGACTGCCGACGGTGGTCGTGAATCACAATCCTACTGCCACAACAACACCTGAGCATCAGGGTCCTCCTCTGGTATCCTTTGGTCCACCCCCTCGTAGACATCGTGTGCCTCCAGGCCACCCTCATCGTCCAACATGGACTTGTCCTGAGTCCATGGAAGAACCAAACCGCGCCCCGCGCTCTAAAGAGCCAGAAGTCGCGTGTTGGTTGTGATCTCGACCAACTTCGTGAACTTTGGGAACACCAACCTGTTACGCTTCTTCGTTGGAATACTCTCGTGGATGGCCCAGTTCCTCTCCGCGGAAGAGGAGCACGTCCACATGTATTGTGATGTACATGACACGGAGAGCGATACGCTGAAGCTTGGGAGTAGAATTGCCATACTGTGACCACCACTGACCGCACTTGACGGTCTCGTGCTCCCCAACACACATCTCTGCAGCGACGCACACCCACTCCCCTCCCCATGAGCAAGTCGAAGACCACATGTGAAAGTTCCACAGTTGCAACAGAGCGTCTCGGTACTCCTTGCATCGCCCGTCCAACCCAGTCTGCTACACAATATACTGCCCTGCCTCCCTCACAAGTCGTGCATCCTGATCCTTCACCACAACACTGTAATAATGCATTGACCTCCTCATTGGGCAGAGGAGGTAAGCCGCAACGGTAGCAGGCTCACACATATGAGCAACTGGGTCCTGCATGCGCCTGAAAATCTGGCCCGCGAATCCATCCTCGAGTTGAGCAACAATTGCATCCACGTCCTCCGCCAACCGCCCCGCCCAGTAAACCACTCGAGACATGCACTGCCATCTGTGATCCATCTTGCGTAGCAGATCATAAACCGGCTCCATAACGGCATGCAAGATGTTCATGGAGTCCCACCAGCTTCCGTGCCAGATCTGCCACCGCACCCAGCGCGCATGCTGTCTGATCGATGTACTTGCCCAAGGCTCCCTTCAGCAGTCAATCCCGTCCACCATCTGCTCCAAAGGACGCCGTACAACATGCAAACGTTCTAACATCGCGCCGATAGATGTGAATCCAGTCTTGCACGAGTACAGCAACCCAAGATGGCGACTCTCTCTCGTGAACAACTATGAATCTCCCATGGAGGCGGCTGTGGGCGACCATGGTCGCGCGCGCGCGACTTTGCGGCAGCTGTCTCTTATACACATCTAGATGTGTATAAGAGACAGCACACACACACACACACACCAACCAATCCCAACGCCCACCCCCCAACCCCTACCGGACCCAGACAAACCCGGAAAACGGCCCGCTGTGACCACGAATCCAGACCCTAAGTTTGCGTACCCACTTATACATATGCGACACGTATGCGCATACGTGCATACGCGCGTATGCGGAGCCTTCGTACGTGTACGCCGTGCTACCCAGAGATGAATGGAAAATAAATAAAAAAAAAGACAAAAAAAACAGGGAGAAAAAGAAGGAAGAAGAAGAAAGAAGAAGAAGAAAAAAAAAGAAGAAGGAAAATAAAGAAGAAGACTAATGAAAGATAAAGTTGAAAGAACTCGAAGAAGAGGAAGATATTAAGAAAAAAAAGAAGAAGAGGACGAAGAACAAATCAAAGTTGAAGATGAATGTAAAAAAAAAAAAAAAAAAAAAAAAAAAAAAAAAAAAAAANNNCTCACACACACACACACACACACACACACACACACACACACACACACACACACACACACACACACACACACACATACACACGCTCACGTACGAATGTAGATTCCGATGTTCTAGCAGAAGATTCAATCTATTTTCCTCGTCCTATCGATGAAAGTAGTAGGAGGGCAGCTGCTGACTAACCTGTTGTTGTGCGTTGCTCATCCTATCGATGGAAAAATCTCTCTCTCTGTCTGTCTCTCTCTCTCTCTCTCTCTCTTTTTCTCTCTCTTTCTCTCACATACACACACACACACACACACACACACACACACACATACGCATACAGGTGAGAGAAGAGAATGGGTGACTGGGAGCTGGAGGTCCAAGCTCGCGGGGCTGAGGGACTCCGAGATCAGACGCACACACACTCTCTCTCTCTCCCCTCTCCTCTTCCCGCCAATCTCCCCATATTTGGCATTGTGATTAGGTGTGCTAACTTTTCTTTCTTCGTTTCTCCTTTTTTTTTTTTTTTTTTTTTTTTTTTTTTTTTTTTTTTTTTTTTTTCTTTTTCTTTTTTTTTTTCTTTTGCGTTGTTTTATTTTTAGTACAATTAATGGTAATAACAGGCGGTTCATAGCTTTTTTCTGCCAACGTGCGTTATAGGCCTCAAATAAGACCCCCCTTGTGCGATATAATCAGCTAAATACAAGCTGGGGGAACAACTCGCTCTCAAATTATGACGAATGATTGGAGTCCAGTTTAGTACACGGGTGTGGGACGTACATGACCTCAAATAGATCCTTGTTACATTGGTCTTACTTTCCTTTTTCATTTTTTTCCTTCGGAATCCCTTTTTCGTCTCTTCTCGTCTTTTTTTTTGCCTCTCCCCTTTTTTCGCTTTTTTCCTTTTTTCCTTTTTTTTTTTTTCCGCGTTCCAATTGTCCTTTTCACGGCCGCGAGATTGCTGCATTAAACGTGTGAATAGGAGTGGTACCTTCCATCGTAAGATTGCTATTCCTAGTTGGGCATCCCGACTATATCAGAATAGAACACGAGAAGTTTTATTTATCGGGCCACTGTTGTCGACCGGTAGAAGTGCTCTGCCGGCACGCCGACCGATACCTATACCTCATGCCGCATCTGTCACCTGTGGAAGGGCTGGTCGGGACTCCTGTAACCAGCAAAATCCACCACTTAGTCAGATATAAGAACAAGGTGTGAACTAGATAACTCACCGAAAAGCTGAAAGAACGAGAAATTTATTTTATTCAGTCAATAAAGGCCCGAGATTTGACGGATCAGATCATTATCAAACAGACACTGGTTCAGTATTTCTAATTTTGTGCTGGGCTCCTTCAGTCTGCTTGGTTTGATGTTGCTCCAAGCTTTCAAAATTCCCGACCAGAGTTTTAAATCTATCATGCGATTTGCTAGATTGGTCTGGACTATGCATACCCACACACTTCTTGCATCTGGCATAGACCATTCCTTCATAAACATATACTCTGCAATTATGATCCACTGCTTTTATTTTGGGTTGAAGATCACTTTGATCAGCCACTTCGTCAGCAGAGCGATAGTCTGATCCCTTGGGCCCAGGAGGCTCAAGCCCCCTACAGTTCTTGGCAGACAGATCGTGTCTCATGCCGCCTTGAGGATAAAACCCTCTTGCTGTTCCGCCGATGGCTTCTAGAAGTATCGAGCTGCTATCCTTTTGATGACAGAATAGGCTTTGTCCCCCAACTAGTGAACTGTCAGAGGGAACCAAAGGATAGAGAATGCCGCTGCCGTAAGCACCAGTGCTCGGCCAAACAAAGACAACTTGTGATTTCTTACCCAGCCATGGACTCTTGAGCTCATCTTGTCCTGTAAGATCTTGTCCTGCACTGCTGAACAATTAGTGAGAGAAACTTGATCTCCATTTGTCTTTGTAAACTTTCTGTTGGAACTTGTCTAAGTCCCTAGTTTACCCGTAGTATAAACGGGGGTGGAAGAAGGTATACTGATTTATCCCAGTTTATTGTAGCCTCTGATAATAAACAATACTGATCTAATATGTGTCCTAGTTCCTATAAAGAAGTCATACTGTTTTTACATGTCACCGTCAAGTCGTCCGCTAACGCTTCCCCCTTCCAATGGATTCTTAGGGGGAGGTCTAGCCCTCTGATCCATGGGTTTAACCTTATGTTATCTAGCAATATCTCCAATTAGATCACAAACAATAACGGGGTCAGAGGAAACCCTTGTCGTTGCGAACGTGTTAGCTTAAACTCCTTTGATAGTCTACCGTTCACCAACTCTGTTGATGGATCCTCCACGTGCATAACTTTTACACATCTAATGAACTGTGGACCAAATCCCATTCTCTTGAGGGTCGTGATTACAAATGGCTATTCCACTTTGTCATACGCCTTCTCCATGTCTAGGAGGAGGACTCCTACTTCCCGCTTTTCTGAGGCTATAACCTCCAGTGCCTGTAGGGTGGTCATTATGTTATCAAAAATTGTTCGGCCTTTAACGAAGACCCCTTTTTTGGCCCTCTTGTTCTAGGTCAATCAGGTTAGGCAGAAACTCCGCTAGTCTTAAGGCCTGGGCTTTTGCCAATATTTTATATACTACATTGAGAACAGATATTGGACGATAATTTCTTACATCAGACTTACACCTTTTTTTGTATCGTAATGAGATATATCCTTTTCGAAAGTCATCGTGGAACCCCCTCATGTTTCTTATATTATTGTATACCTCATACAGGAAGGGGACGAAACCCTTCCATCATTCTGTGAACAGTTCCACCGGGAGACCGTCTGACCCTGTACATTTTCCTTTTACCATTCGTTTGCCCGCTGTTTCCAACTCGGCTACTGTGAATGGGTTGTCTAGTGCTTGTGCTGCCCCTGGTGGAAGCTGTATGTTGGATAAATTCCAAAAGGAATTTCCTTCAGAGAGGTCGATATCGGGGTTGTCAAAGGGTCTTCTTGTAGAAACAATGTCGCTAAAGTAAATTCAAAGGTATGTGAGCACATTGTTTCTCTGTCTAAGGCATTCACCTCCACTATTGAGAATGGGTGTGTTATCTCCCTAATGAAGCTTTTGGATTGCCTTAACAATAATGTTCTAAGAGATATTTTAGTCATTCTATCGTATCCTACTATTCCCTGAATGTTCAACCATTCCAGCCATTCTGCTTGAGTTTGTATCTCCAGTGCTTCAATCTCCAGTAGGGCGGCACGCCTTTTTTCTGATCAATGGTAGTCTGAAAACGGATCTTTCCCTATTCTTTCCTCCGCGTGGACTACCGTTTGTCTGAATAATTTTTCATTCCAAGATTTGTTAGCCACTTTCATACGTGAAAAGTTCATTAAGGCAACGCGCACGATCCGGATACCTACCTCTGCCCAATCAGAGTCCTCCTCAAAGAGGTCCTTTGCTTGGTTCCAAGTAGTCATCTGATCAATTATCCAGGTTTTAATACCTTCGTCCTTTAACAAATTTACGTTGAGCTTGAAGGGGGGTGTGGAGTTCTCAATTATATCCACAACAACCACGCCCATCAGGACCGGACAATGGTCTGACAAGGAGGAGCCCCCTTGAACGTCTGCCCAACAACATCTGTCCCACGGGGCCCCTCTTGCCAGAATCAAGTTCAAACGACTTCAGGGGCCCATTAATTGTTTCGCTGGTCTTGGGCCATACCAGAAAAATCCATATGAATCCCGGTTCAATGTTTGATATATATCCACAAGAGTTTGACTGTCTATAAATCCGTTCAATATCTCCACATCTTCTCGTGTTGGATATTTAAAGGGCGAGTCCAGACCTAAAATTTGACTCGTGTTCCAATCCCCCAGGATCAGCAGGTTCTCCGTGTCCAGCAAGAATCTTGGTAGGTCTGCTAGGAAGTCCATACGCAGGGGTAGCTCCACCGGGGCATATACTGTCATAACTGCCCACTCTTCATTCTGATACAGAAACTTTATCCAAGCGATACGACCCCCTGGGTCCGCATATGAATCTAATGAGGTCACTTCCAAGTTCTTGGTTATGAGAATTGGCACCCCCCCGCTGGACCCATCTGATGGTGCCCACACCTGTGGGTCTTCCCATCGGGGTAATATTTTCCAAATTTTCCTATTATTAAGCTTTATCTTTTGTAAGCCCATTATTTGTACATTTACCGAGTACATCCATTTTCTTAGTCTGGCACATTTATACTTTTGATTAGTGTCACCAAATCCTCGTATGTTCCTGTTTGCTATTTGTAGTTTAGGCGGTTGGACCATCAGGCCTCATCTCGCCGTCTTGTTGGATACAGCCACTTCCAGTGAGGGAAATTGAGGTCAGACACCCCGTTTTCCCTTTACCCTGCTCCTTCATGTTTCCCCCACCAGCGTTCACTGCTTGTAACCATCTAACGAGTGACTCTTCCTTTAGATGATCCTGAACCAGGCAGGACGTTCTGATGATTTATCCAGTCTGTGACCTATGTACCCGATCTCCCCTCGAACAAGTGCAGGGTTGTCACAACATTACCGTTGTTGCCCAAGAAGTCATGCAGTGGGATCCCGTGGACCCGCAAATCACACCATTTATCGAACGAGTCCTTAATTGATTCCAATCCCATCAAATGAAAGAGCGCCGATGGTCTCTCACTCATAGTCGATAGATGTCTGTTCATTTTGATCGCTGGGATGCGTTCCACTGAGTACGTGCATTTTCGTGAGTTCTACCACCTCCTCTTCGGAGGGCGTGGTGGCGATGGGAATAGCTGGTAGTTCAAGCCCCTCGTTCTGCATTATATGTGTGAGCACCATGGTTCCATTTACTGTGTCTGAGCAAATCAGAGGGGTTAGGAATTCCTTGGCAGGTCCGCTGTCTTTTATTGCTCTTGTTATTGTTCTCATTGGGCCAACCAACGACAACTCCTTCCTCAGGGATCTGTACAACAGTGTCCGTTTACGTCCTTTGAATACCTCTTCCGGGATCCCCGTGTTTTGGGAATCTCAGATTGGATTCGTGGATGTACCTATCCCGGAGCTGTGTGTCCCCCCGTACAGATATGGGGAGTATGAACGACCGTACGGCCGTACAAATGGGCCCCCACACAGTCATACGGGTCATACGTACGACCGTACGACACGTTTTCGGGGCCTTCCCGGGGTGGGAAATGGGATCTGAGGGGAGGGGGGATGCATGTCGGGGGCTACCCCCCAATATAAAAAAAAACAAAAAAAAAAAGTTTGTTCGGGGGCTGGGGGGTGGTGGGTG